GAGATTCGAAGGCAAACCCTATCAAGCTCCACCACCACCTCCCCTACCCGAATTTCGAGTACGAGAAACACCACCTTTCACAGCAACAGGAATTGATTTCCTTGGTCCGCTCTATGTTCGAACACACGAGAAGAGCGAAAAGGTGTGGGTATGCCTTTACACATGTTGTGTAACGAGAGCAGTGCATTTGGACATTAGGGACATTTAGCTTCACGTTTACATCGTTTAACTGCAAACCGCAAACCTCAAAAATACCACGTGACATTTTCCCGCGGTCAGACCTGCTGTATTTTGTTCGCGTTTTGACGGCAGGGGCAGGTTCTAGCGGTAAGTGAATTACCTCAGGATTTTTAACGTAGTAAAAGTATATGAAACCACGTTTCGGAACAATACATGCTTTCTTTGATATCTATAGATTTTAAATAATGATAAATTGGTATTTGAGGACTAAGTGGTTTCGAATTACAAAGGCTTAAACACAGCATGTCAGCGAAGACAAAAACAAACATGGCCGCTGTTATTTACATATAAATTTACATACAGCAATAGCATGATATAGGCTGATATACCTATATTATTGAGATATAGTTGTAAAAATAATGTTTATCTTGTGTTCTTCCGTTTTCTATAGAAAAATGGCACCTTTTAGATGGCCTGCAATAGCAAATGATTTAATGTTGGCGACCGAAGTTGCAGCCAGAAACCCGAAGAGTGGTGCAGAATGGGAGACGATTGCTTGTGTTCTTAGCAGAGAATTTAGCACAGATGATAGAAATGTTGAGGTAACTGGACGGGCTTGTAGAGAGCGAATGGAGCGGCTTATAGCAAAGTACAAAGAGGAAGACAAAAGATCGCTCAAAAAGTGAGTACAAATTACTATAAAAACAGTATGAAAATGTAAATTGTAAAACAGTCACAGTGTAAGTATGCAGCTATACATCATCAAATGGGACCATCATTAAAGTAGTACCATGTTCTTTTTTGGATTTGTCTCACTATTTTTTATTTTACTTTGTTTCCATATTTTGTGTTGTCAAGTTGTCATATTTGCCAAAATATATTTTTGACCATTACTAATGCACCTATCAGTGTTATGCCCTGGGGGGGGGGGGGGGGGGGGG